AGGTTATTGTTGTCTGTAGGAAACAGTGTTTATCTTCACACGGTAGGTTATTGTTGTCTGCAGGAAACAAGTGTTCGTCGTCAAACGTCAGTACCAAAGCGCTGACTAGTTCGGTTAAAAGATATCTATAGGCTTATTTATGGTCTAAAATGTACACACCTGACTTCATGTGAACAGGCACCTCACGTGACCGTTACACATATGTAATTCTAAACACACTCAGTATATCTATTTGACGCGTTCTGTCAGTGTGAAGGAGGACAAAGGCCTAGTTTAGCTACCAGGAAGTACAGGTATACACAGAAATGTACCCACGTCATAATATACACATACATTCAAGATCTAATATCTTGCTCATATTATGTATATGTGCAAGTTTCGAATAATTCGTAAACGCTCAGACTGTGAAAATAGGGAAGTTTTGAATAACACGCTTTAATGCTCCTGATTCAGATTAAGTCGAAATCTACTTCCTTCTTTTACCTTGAACAAAATCAAAGTTAACTGAAGCCTACTATACATTGCTATCACATAGAAAGTAAATAACTTGATGTTAAACTCGTATGAACTGTACATGCGTTTGTCTGCCTCTCATGTTGCGGGGTACGACAGTCGCGGTTCGTACATGGTGAACATATATATGGTGGTATATTTCTGGCATCGACTTTCGACTTGCGAGTTACCTAGCTACATATGTCGATATATTTTTTAAAAGATGTCGACCTAATCTATGAATATGTCGCAATATCGTTTGAATTATGTGGACAATGTTTCACCTTTGTTGAGATAATTATAACGGAAGTAGGTAACTCCTGATGTACTTCTAAGTAGGTTTAAGCACGATTTAGCCTCTCTAACCACTTTTCTATACCTTCACTACATACTTGACCCATTCTACTCATTGTCCTATCTTTTCTTCCTTTGCTGGATTACCGAACTACTCGGTAGTGAAGCGGACGTAAAACCACTCAATCGAACAAGCTAACAAAAGTATTAAGCCTTAATTGAGGTTTTGTTTATCAGCATTAAAAGTCTCGTGGTAATTTCTAATTTCAGAAGATAATGTAACAGGTAACCAACGATCAGTGAGACCTAGTGATATTTGTTTAAATTAGATAATGTAACATGTCACCAACGATCAGTGCGACATATTGATATTTGTTTACAGTAGGTAATGTAACAGGTCACCGACGATAAGTGAGACCTAGTGCTATCTGTTTAAATTAGATAATGTAACAGCTCACCAACGATCAGTGAGACATAGTGATATTTGTTTACAGTAGATAATGTAACAGGTCACCCACGATCAGTGAGACATAGCGATCTTTGTTTACATTAGATAATGTAACAGGTCACCGACGATCAGTGAGACATAGTGATATCTGTTTACATTAGATAATGTAACAGGTCACCAACGATCAGTGAGACATGGTGACCTTTGTATACAGTAGATAATGTAACATGTCATCAACGATCAGTGAGACATGGTGAACTGGGTATACAGTAGATAATGTAACATGTCATCAACGATCAGTGAGACATGGTGATCTTTGTTTACAGTAGATAATGTAACACGTCACCGACGATCAGTGAGACATGGTGAACTGTGTATACAGTAGATAATGTAACATGTCATCAACGATCAATGAGACATAGTGATCTTTGTTTACAGTAGATAATGTAACACGTCACCGACGATCAGTGAGACATGGTGAACTGTGTATACATTAGATAATGTAAAAGGTCACCAACGATCAGTGAAACATAGTGATCTTTGTTTACAGTAGATAATGTAACACGTCACCGACGAGCAGTGAGACATGGTGATCTTTGTTTAGAGTAGATAATGTAACACGTCACCGACGATCAGTGAGACATGGTGAACTTTGTATACAGTAGATAATGTAACACGTCACCGACGATCAGTGAGACATGGTGACCTTTGTATACAGTAGATAATGTAACAGGTCACACACGATCAATGAGACATGGTGATCTTTGTTTACAGTAGATAATGTAACAAGTCTCTTACGATCAGTGAGTCATAGTGATCAGGACTTTGTTTACAGTATATAATATCGTTTCAGAAATCATTCTTTATAATTTAATTTAAAGTTTCCAACTGTTTGTACATGATATCAATTTAACGATTTTCAGACGTGATCCACTTTATATTCCAAACATTTACATGAAAAAGGTCCTACCTAGAGGCGAACACTTAATAAATTATACTGTTTACATTTTAATTTGTTGAATAAACTAGTATAACCACCTGAAAAAAGTTTTATCGTAAGCTTTAATATTTTTTACTGAAAGTTGTTGGTACATTATGTAACTCATTGGAATATACATGTATCCCAATGTAATATAGTATGTATTATACTTTTATTAGTATCATAATGACTATATGTGTTACGGTATATAATGTTAAAGAGGACGTTAGCCGACTTAATTATAAATACCAGTATAAACCGTTACCAGCTCTTGCCCCGTAGATGCCTACTCTCTTAAATATAAGGACTCACACAACTAATCAGCCAATCAACAAGTGCTTCATACGATTGTACTCCCTATCTTACATTTGTTCTGGGTTAATACAGTGCCCCTGAGTAATTTAGATAGGTATTTGTTGACAAAGTTTACATTGAATGAAATCTACAGATATTGAACTTTAGAAAAATGTATAGTTTTAGTAGATTTTAAAATGTGATGGCGGATTGATATGTGGTCTAATGTCAGGGGGTGTTCCCATCCCACTCCACCGGTTTGGCTTGTAAACTTCCGGTTGTCAAAAGCAGACGCATGTAGCGCCGCTCTTATATTCCACCAAACTCACCAAAAAGCGCCTTTTGAATCCTTTGTCAGGTATGTATCTGTGAATCTAGACAGTTGTCAATAGTGTTGAACTTTAAATATTAACGCTATTGGCTCAAAAGTTTAGTAATAACATATAGTGAATGATTTAGTTGTGTGAGCCCTTAAGAACGAAAGAGCCCTTTTCATCTTTTTCTTAAATACTGCTTAAATTGTCGTTAAGCGAATCAGACTTTGAACAACATGGCCAGAATTTGTGCACGCGCGATTTCCACAAATATGCAAGTGAATGACTTTTTAGGTCTATGAAATTTCATGGAAGGCTTTGATTGGGGTTTGTCTTACCAAAGGGACCTGACCATTTGTTACAGCTATATTTGGACTTAAACTAAGGTGTTAAGAGTAATTTTACATGTTTATGGGTTTAGATCGACTTTCGGTAAAAATGACGCCCAATGATCATATAAAGAAGAAGGGAGGAAAGCTCTCGATGTCGAAATGTCGACCCCACCTAACTTTCTTGCATCAAAAACAACTTTTCTAGCAATTCTACGGGAAAAAGCTTAGTGTCGTTGGAAAGATGGATACTTTTTCGTTTGAAAACCTCCTATATGCACGTAAATTGTATTCTCCTTCCGTGGAC